CAGCTCTGCCTGGGGCTCTGCCTTGATGTTCTGTACACACAAATGGAGAGCAAGTGCCTGGGATCTGTTCTTTTCAGGCCTGCCCTGCCACTCCTGCCCTTCTGACATCTACACTCTTGTTAGAAATCCTGCTCATTCAGGAGACAAGGATGTGTGCAATTGGATCCTCTGCTGCAGGTCAGAGAGCCTCTATGGCCACCTCAGGATATGGAAGAGGACCAAGGTGTTTCTCCTCCCTCTTTTGTCAGCTGAGAATTCTGAGTGGCACTGACAGAGATCCTCAAAAGGCCCCACCAACAAATTAATTGACACACCCCTAGGGATGTCAATGAAGGAAGCCATGGGTCATGTAATGCATGTATGACCAAAGTCACCAAAAACCACCTAAAACATGGAATTGTCCCACCTCACTAGGACAGGCAGAAATTTATAGGTTAAACAGGGAGTGTCAGGACAGAAGAGACAGGAGGAGGAAAACAGCTCTGAGGAGAAAAAACAACCATCTCTAAAGGGGTTCTTAGCAACACAAGACAGCACTCAAGGACTTGCAGCTTTGCCCCCACACTAGGCTCCAATGCAGTTTCCAAAGCTGCAGACTTCACCACAAAACGTATCAAGAGAAACTGGCCACTTGTGGATTTTGCCTCAGAAGAAGGGTTCAGAACTACACAGTTTGTTTCTTTGGCCACACAGGACAAGAATGGCCGGCCACAGCTTCATGGACAACACAATCATCTCCTTGCAGCTTATCAAAAGCCAAAAGACAGGTGGCCTAAAAGACTCTGCAGAAGTGAAGAATTACTCCAGAAAACTGCAGAACACTTCTCCAGGTCATCCTGAGGTTTCCAAAAAGGGACAGCAAACAAAGCAAGCCCTGTGAGCCCCAGAAATGCCGTGTGAGCCCTTGGCCATGGCTTGGCAGAAGCCAAGAGACAGAGCTTCCCTGAGCCAAGCAGCCAGCTGCTCACCCGCAGGCAGCAGCGCTTTGGGGCCTCAGCACGACGGCTCAAAGCCCAATTTCCAGCTGCCACGGGATGGGGGAATGGCTGGGTGCTGGCAGGACTCCAGCACTCAGCATCCTCAGCCAGCAACAGCAAGTGCTGGCTGCTCAGAAACTTGCAGCTCTGCCTTGCACTAAAGACAGCAGCACCCAGCACTGGCACTTACTGTCTGGGCATGGTCAGGCTGGGCTGTGACCACAGCTGGAGGCTCGTGCTCCTTTTGCTCATTTTGCTCCTCTTTGGTCTCTTCTCCAGGAGCAGAGGGAGCCACAGCAGAGTCTGCTCTTGCTTCTGGGCTCTGTGGACAGATGGTGGAGTTAGGGACAGGCAGCTACCTATCATTTAGAACCTTATTTCTCTTCAGCTCGATTTCTACAACCAGCTCTACCAAGCACAAATCATCAGCTTTGATAGCAATGGGATTCTAAGTCTCTCCAACTAAATCAAAATGGGTTAATTCAGCCAGGCTGCAAATAGCTCTGAATTAGAGAGTTCACCCTGGCTACTATCAGCAAGCAACGTTCTCTCTGCAAATCTGAGCTTTGAGTTCTTTTAAAGCTCTGCAATGGAAAATTAGGAAATAGCCAATAATGCCTTTGCTATTGCTGTTGTAAACATGGAAATGGATCTTCTTTCAGCCCACCCAGCTGGCCCTCTGCACTCTACTGCCACAGGCCAAGCTCACAGTTCCCTGCACAATTGTGAAACACCAGGAGCATCAAATGTTCCTTTCTGACTCACCTCAGGATCGGCACCTCTGAACACACGGCTCAGATGACCTGCAGTGGGCAAGGAAAATGAACCAAATTCTTTGAGAAAACTGGAGAGAACCGTGGCCTATTTAGAGCAGCATCTGAGAAGATCTCCCAGTCTGCATTTTCAAAGGTGTCCTGCTTGACTGGTGTGGTTTAAAGCAGCAACTAAAAAATCACTAGAAAACTTATTTATTTCTTGCTGTGAGGTATGGATTAGAACAAGAGCAAAACAGGCTTAAAACTTAAATCGAATAAAGTTTATTAACAAAGACTACAAGAATAAGAAACCAGAATAAAACTTCCAGAACAACCCTTTTCTCCCCCACTACCCAACCATTCCCTTGTTTACATGACAACATGGAGACAAAAAACTTTGGAACTTTGGTGTTTAAAATAGTCCCAATTCCTGCTAGAGTCTCTTCATCAGTCTTTGTAGAGAAACAGAAGTCTTCTTCTACTATCTATGGAGTTTTTCACATGAAAACTATTTTTCTTCATAGCTTTCAATTTCTCTGATGCCAGCTGCCTGGAAATCTGCCATCAGTTGTCTCCTCCCAGTTTAAAGTTACAAAGTGGATGTTTAATCACAGCACTGGGCGAGTGCAGGAGTCACCCCTTAATACGCACTGCAAGTTGACAAAAGATTCCAGTGTCTATTTATTTACAAAAGTCTTAAATATCCAAAATACTAATACATATTAATACTAATGCATATGCATAATGCTAGCACCTCCCATGCTCCACTTCGGATTAGAATTCATGGTAATGATTTTAATGTCATTACACCTGCGTGGTTGGCTCCCTAATTTGAGGAGGAGGTCGTTTTGGCAAGGAGGAATCATCAAGAGATGAAGGAAAACCGCTCTTCCTCACTCTCACCTTTCTACCTTTACAATGGTGAACATTACAAATGACATTTGGTACAACTCCAGGTTCCTCCCTTGTGACTTTGAAATGGGTTTCCAGATGTAAGGTCTGTGATCTTCCTGAACCCGTTTATCAGTTTCTCTTTTCTCATTATCAGCACAGCTGAACATACAATGACAAGTAATTTTTTACCTAAATCCGAGATTCATTATCTCAAATCCTGCTTCTCACATAATCATTAACTCTAACTAGTTTCAGCAAGGCCTATCTCTAGCTAAGATCTCTAATTTTTCTAAAATATCTAATTTTTTAAAATTAGTGACTCCAAAGGAGGTTTCAGAGGGTCTTGGGTACGCTGGGGGAGACTGGGAGGGTCCTTGGAGGGGCTTGGGGGTTCAGTGACAGGTTTTGGGGATCCTGACCTCTGCAGACCCCCCAGGGATGCCGTGAAACGCTGCCCACAGCAAGATGCTGGTGGGGATTGGAGTCTCAGTGTTGGGCTTCATCTTCCTGGCACTGGGGCTCGGCTTCTGCCTGCACAGGAAGGTGAGGGAGGGTTCTGGGGGTCGTGTCTCCCTCACCGAGAGCGTTTGTGCTCCCCTCAGGGCCCCCAAGCCCAGTGTCACCCCCTTTTCTCTGCCTACACAGCTCTTGAGGCAAAAGCTTCTCGAGGATTTAAAGTCAACAATTCCCATTGTCGTTCTGTATCCTGTTGGATTTTCATTCCCTTGCTTTGATCCAGGTGCCCACAGGGAGCCAGAAAGATGTGGAGCCTCCCAGCCAGGTATCTTCCCAACACAGATCACCAGGACCACAGATCACCAGGGCTCTGCCCAATGGGGGTCACTGGGGATCATCCAACGCCCATCCTCCCATGGGGGATGGAGCTGGAGCAGCGCACGAAGCTCTTCCCGCACTCGGGGCACTCACAGGGCTTCCCTTACTGGTGCCTACGTTGGTGTTTGGTCAAGTCAGAGCTCCCAGAGAAGCTCTTCCCACACTGGGGACACTCGTAGGGCCTCTCCCCAGTGTGGATGCGCCGGTGGAGGGTGAGGTTGGAATTGCGGTTGAAGCCCTTCCCACAGTCGGGGCAGCGGAAGGGCCTCTCATCCGTGTGAATCTGCTCATGTCTGATGAGAGTGGAGCTGCGCTGAAACCTCTTCCCACACTGGGGACACTCGTAGGGCCTCTCCCCAGTGTGGATGCGCTGGTGTGCCCACAGACTGGAGCTCTGACCAAAATTCTTCCCACATTCCAAGCAAGTGTAGGGACGTTCCCCTGTGTGGACCACCTGGTGTGTCATCAGGCCAAAGATATCTCTGAAGCTCTTCCCACATTTCCCACACTCATAGGGCTTTTCCCCAGTGTGGGTCACCTGGTGCCGGATCAGGCTAGACCTGTAGCTGAAACCCTTCCCACATTCCAAGCATTTGTGGGGCTTCTCCCCCAGCTCTGAGCTCCGGCTGGATCTCTGGCCGTGTTCCTGGCACTGGGGGGATCTTTCCTCTTTGCAGCTCCCTGGACTGGGTTTGCAGCCCCTCCTCATGCGGGATCTCTGGGGCTTTTTCTCCTCCTCTTCCATCTGGACACAGTTTGGGAATGAAAATTCCTGGTTAGGAGGAAAAAAACAACAGGAGACTGCCTTGGGCTGGGGGGTTCCTCCTTGCCCAAGTTCATCTCAGAAAGTAATTGAGTATCTTGTGTCTCTAAGAATCTCTAAAACACCAAGATTCATCCCAGACATCCTCCAAACATCAAAACAAAGACCAAAAACTACCAAAATACCAAATCCAGGCAAAACCCCCACCAGAATACAAAGATTCAGCCCCTGCAAAAGACAAAGCACCAATATTTGGCCCAATAAAGCTCAGAAACACCAAGATTCAGCCCAGTGAAAATTGTGGATCCCGCTCCGCAGTCACCTGCTGACTGTGGGCAGGGAAACACTCCTGGGACTGCACATACAGGGAGGATGGAACCTTGTGCACCTTCCTCTTCCTGCTCCTCCTGTGGCCCTATTCTTCCTCACAATCCTCTTCCTCCTACTATTTCTCCTCCTCCTGCACAATCCCACCTCCTCCTCCCACGTGAATCGTTTGATTATTTTGTTCTTCAGCCCGGCTTCTCCTTCCCTTCTCCTCCTGCCCCCAGGCCCAGCACCCACTGCCGCCTCCCTCTTCCCGCCCAGTCCCACAGCATCCCACCGCAGGGGCACGGATGCAGCTGGGCTCCAGCTGGGGAACGCTGGCAGCTGCGGCTCTGCCTGGACACTGATGAGTCATCAGCGCCGCGCGCTCTGATTGGCTCAGCCCTGCCTGAGCCCTG